TTACTCATCGCCAGAGACATGCAGTGTACACGTTGTTCTAGCAAAGTGAAGTTAAATGCTGCTCCAGCCACGGGCAAGGATAAGGACAAGGACAAGAGTAGCGGCGGCGGCCCCAAGGGCACCCTCAAGGTTAGTCTCGCTGACGACCAGCATCATGGTGACGGCGATCAAGGCATGCCCAGGAGAGGGCGCCGCGCAGGTGCTCCCCCGCCGACCTCACGCACGAGGGTAGTTATTCCGCTGCTCGATCAGGCGCTCACCCAGGCCACTGACCCTGAGTTGAAGCGCGCGCTCGCAGCCCAGGTCGGTAAGCTCAAGCAAGAGAAGGACGAGCAAGGTGGAACGTCCTCGGAGGCCCTTCGGTCTTTGCAGCGAGTTGACGGAGCGTGGCGCGACATCAACAACAGGCACACTCAGGCTGTCCAAGCCGTGGTGCGGTGGAGGAAGCAGCTGGGTCTCGCGCAGGAGAGGGGGCAGAAGTTAGCCAAGGAGCTAGCGGAGGCGGAGCTCACCAAGAAGCAGGCCGCCACCATCCGAGCCGCTCGGGCGGGCATCACCCCAGGACAGCAGCCGACGGCCCCGACGACGTCAGCAGCACCAGCCTCGGGCAAACTCTCGCGCGATCGAAAGTGATCTGGGAACCTTCAAGATCTCGAGCGCGACGATGCAGAGCGTCTTGAGTTCGATAAGGTACACGGGGAGCTGATCGATGCCCTGTCTTTTTTCGATGGCAAAGCCGAGCAGCGCGCAAAGTTCATCGCCAGAGCCAGGGGGATGCGAACTGCCACCACGGCCAGGCTCGCCAAGAAGAGGCGCGGGGCCGACGGCGGGCTGCGCCAGCCACGCCAGGCGACGCCCCAACGGGCACGCCGCGAGGCGAGGCGCCGGCGCCCCAGGCGGCGCCCGCCGCGCTTGCCGCGGGCGCCGTCGGCGACGCCGAGGAGGCCAGGGCCAACCGCGCGGCGGCCGAGGCGCAGAAGATCCAGAAGCTAAGTCCGCAGCGCAAGAGCAGGCCTCCAAGGTTGAGGCCACCAGCGCAGCAGGCGACCATTGACTAAGTTCAGCAAGCAGCGGCATGGAGTGCCCTTCAAAGTCTGAGCCGCGAGTTGCACGCGATCAGGGACGAGTGCCCAGGGCGAGCGAAGATCAGATGCAGTCCGCGCATGGCAACGTCACTGCCATGGGGAGCAAGGTGTGGAAATTCGCCCAGGAGGCCCCCTCTACCCAACGTTTCGACCAATTGCCAACCCCGCTAGGGCAACGAACAGGCATGTCTGTCAAGTTGGCATCGATAAAGCCACCGAGAGTGGTGAGTGGATCATGGCTCCTGGGCACATGCAGATTCACTCACTGGCGCCCCAATTAGAGCACTTATCCGACTCCCAAGTCGACGGTGAGAATCTGATGGACGGTTGCACTGCTGCCCGCGTACACATGGTAGGATATCCGTGCGTCCCAGTCACCTCTCACGGGTTTACAGCGATTGGATTGACGGGTAGCAACGTGCAGCGCTGCGCTAGATGAGTGGGCGTTTCTCGCCTCCCTCCAACTACCTTGGATCGTCATCCGAGACTTGAACGTCTCTTCCACATCCTTGGCTGCCCCAGGGTTCTGGTCGAGGGCGGGGGGCGAGGTTGCAACGGCGCCCAATCGATTGCACGTGCGGTGCAGGCAGGGAAGGTAGTCGCATTGATTATGTAGTTCGGAGTTTTGCGGCTGCAGCGCATCTCACCGAGTCGCCCCGCTCACGAGTGCCCCCTGGCAGACCCATTGCGGGCTCAAGTTGCCCCTCGGGGCCTCAGGGAAGCAGCTTATGGCTCCGAGATCAGCGTCGCCAGCTCGACCCCGCAGGTCGGTCGACCCAAGAGAGCCCCCACGCCAGGCTCCAAGTCTCAACGGTCTCGCGCGGCCAGGGCGGTTAGCGCCGCGGCCAGCGTTGAGAATATTAAGGAGCGATATCACGAGCTGTTCGAGGACCTCTGGGCCCCTGCCAAATCCGACCCCTCTGCGACTAGCGCAGGTTAGCCAGGGGAGAAAGCCAAGCGACCGCTACAGCTGTGAATGCTGCCAGCACGCAAGGCCAAGGCGAGTCTTTTGACATCCAGCTGGACATTCCCTCGGAGGAGGGCCCATGGGCCGACGAGCTACATTTTGTCGATGGCCCTCAGTTGGGAACACCAGCGGCCACGAGCGAAGCTGATCTCTTGGGGGAGAAGGTGAGCACGGCACTGCCGATGGCCCTGGCACGCGCAGCGAGTCCTCCCGGCAGTTCGTTTGGAACCCTGAGGCGCCAGTATTTCGCGTACCCCAGTATGTTCCCAGCATCAGTTGGGGGCTGGCGCCGCCCGTCGAGGGGTCGACGGCCAATGATGATACACCGCTCGGCCCTAACGTCACCATCCCATCCAGCGCATTTGAAGAGCCGCCCCCCCCACCCCAGGTGTCACCCATGAGGTTAGCTTCGTCGTGCCTGACGATGCGTGGTTTGACGCCAGAACGGCGGCTGGATCCACCCCAGCAGCGCAATGCCCACCCTCGCCCTCGTACTTATCGCCCGTAGCTGCCAGGCTTGAGCCCCGTCCCGTCGCCCCTGTTTCGGCTCTATACGCTTCATGGGCGGCGGCGTTGGAGAGGGCGGTGTATGACCATCATGGGGTGGAACCGCCACCGACACAGTGTCGCGCTGTAGGCTATAGCTTTCAGATATGCGAGGTCCGAGTACCTGAGAAGGACAGGTCAGTACCGCATCGGGATGTGGTCGCTTCGTGGTGGGGGAAGGTCCACGCGGCATTGCGTCGCCTCGACAACCATCGGTCTCGGAGGTCGGGACGCATGCAGCAACAGCAGCTTGAGCAAGCATATCGGCATCTTCTCCAGGAGCGCCCCGATCAGGCCCATAGAGGTTTGCCTGAAGGTTTGGACCCCTCTTGGGAGAGGTGGCAGATGTTACTTCAGAGTGGTGTTTTCGATGACAGCCGTGGCCTGATACTGTATGTAGCTGTAGCCAGGCGCATTGCTGGCAGATGCCGGCGGCGCGCGCCGAGAGCATCGCTCACTGATTTCCGAGAGTGGGTGGTTCTGTCAACACCAGCGGGGGTTTTTCACAAATCCATGCGCCAGGAACCCGCCCCTGTCGATGAGGTGGCTGTTGGGTCCCAGGTCCTCCTCCATCCCGAAGATAGTGTTGACCACAACGGGGCTCCCACGGGGATCTTTCAGGGATCCGAAGGATCCAATAGGGGTCCCGTAGGGTTCCGCGGGGATTCCATCGGGTTCTTAGAAGGCTCCCATAGGTCCCCCACACAGGATCCTTAGACTGTTCCCTCCCTGGGGCTACCATGGGGATCCCAGGGGGTTTTCATACGGATCCGTAGTGATCCAATCGTGCTCCCATAGGGATCATGTAGTGTTTGGGATTGTTCGTGGAGGGTTCGTGAACCTCGCCAGTCCTCTCTCCCATGTAGGGAGGAGAAATTGGGAGGACAATGTGAGGCTGATCGCTTCCTTTTTTGTGGATTGGAACGGCGCCAAGTTCTTCTTCAATTGGAGGAGGCAATCGACAGGGTGGTCAGGCAGGGCCTCGGGCCTCTACCCTGGGAGGTGGAGGCCCGGGGTGGTGCGGTAGGGACTGCATTTTCTTCTTATAAATTGTCTTCGAAGGCCACGCCCTCGAGGTCGACGACGCTCTCCTCTGAGAGCCGCGCGGCGGCGCATCGCTGCCCATAGCCTGACCCGTCCTACTCTGGTGACGTACGTTCCTCTTCCTCCTCCTCCTATTCCTCCTCTTCTTCATATTACTCCTATACCTCCTATCATGTTTCTCTTCCTCATCTTCCTGATGTTCCTCCTCCCCCTCCCCCTCTCCCCCTCCTTTTCCTCCATCCCTTGTCCGTCTGAAGAACGCCTCCCTGTCCAACCCCAGACGTGCCGGCAGGGCGGACTGGTCGTGTCGCCTGAGATCCCCGCACGACGTGTGACCCTTCGGCTTAGAATCGACAGCAGCGGCACGGGCGGAGGGCGGGCCGTCGGAAAAGTGCGGTGCTCGCTTCAGCGCCGCGCACGTTCGCTTCAAATGTTTCGGGGCTGGACAGAACCCCCAACAGTGACACGTCGATTAGTGAATTGTCCGTTTTCGGTTCTCGAGAGGGCGCCGTGGCCGTTATTTTCCAGGTTTGCGCCCTCCAGGTTTAGGCCTCAGGTCGTTTTCACTAAACCACGTTTTACTAAAGGGGGGTCTGTCCATCCCCGAATGTTTGCAAGAGCTTCACGGACGGAGGGCGCATCGCCTTCAAAATTTTGAGACTGCCGTAGCCCTGCGCAGATGCGTTGACAAATGCTGCATGCGCTTCACGAACGGAGGGCGGCACCTTTCTCAAAATGCGGCTGTCGCGTCAGCCCCGCGCACATTCGGTTCAAAAGTTCGCAACGGTTCTTGAGGTCGACGTCCCAGGAACAATAGTTTGGAACGATGTAGGGCAGTCAGGGCGCAACACTCACGTTGATTCGCGATGTTGAAGTCCCAGGAACGGCGTTTTGGCACACGATTCTGGATCGTCAGGACGCAACAGTCACGCTGATTCGCGGCGCTGAAATACCATAATTGGTGTTCTGGCGCGGCTCAAGCTTTCCGGACGGCTGTCCTCCAACGGGGTTGTTCCTTTAGTGGAAACAAACCTTGGTAGGGACCCACGAAGGAACATGCAGGGAGGGTTCATTGCATCGCAACATTGTTGATGATTCTAGGGTTTACACTGGTCCTCCTCCTCTTCCTCATCCCACACCCACTTCTCATCCTCCTCCTCCTCCTCCACCTCCTCCTCCTCCTTCGACATCGTCGTCGCCGAATTCTCCCGAATTCCCCTCCTCCTCCCCCTCCTCCTTCTCCTACGACTACTCCTACTACTCCTACTCTTCCTACTCCTCCTACTCCTTCTCATCGTCTTCCATCTTCTCCTCCTCCTCCTCCTCCTCCTCCTCCTCCTCCTCCTCCTCCACCTCCTCGGCATCGACTTCTCTGGCCTGTTCGCCGCCTCGCAGTACCGCGGCCTTTCCGCCGAGCACGAGCTTTGGCGATGCTACGTGGGCCCGGAGGACCGCACGCCCTTCGTGCGCCTCGTGGACGGCGTCGAGTCCTCGCCGTTGTCGTCGCCGTCGCCACCGCCCCCGAGGGCTCCTTCGGACGCCCTCGGCGGCCCTCCTGGGGGCCCGGGTCGCCCCCCCTTGGGCGCGAAGGTGGCTGCGTGTCGCGCGTGGCGGCCGCGGGCCAGAGCGAGCGCCCCTCTCGGAGGGGGGCGGCGCGAGGGCACGGGAGAGCGAAGATCATCGCGGGGCGCGCCGCACGAAGGCAGGGTGGCCTTCAGAGAAGGCCCCGGGGTGGCCTTCGGAGGCCCTCCGCAGCGTCGTCCTCGTCGCCGGTCGTCGGCCATCATCGTCGTCGCCGTCGGCCAGCGACGGCTCGACGAGGTCCTGGCTGCGGCCCCACCTCGACGGCGGCAGACGGATCGTGCTTGCGGGCGAGTCCTTCGGGGGCCTGTTGGCGCTCGCCGTGGCGCAGCGGTTGGGCGCACGGCTCGCCGGGCTGGTGCTGGTCGTCGTCCTCCTCCTCCTCCTCCGCATCGCCCTTTCTTCCCTCCTCCTGGGGGTCTAAGAGGCAGCCTGACTGCATTGGAATGAGGTCGGGGGCGGAAAAGAGGGGGGTGATGACTAGGGGGGGGGATATCATGGCGGGGGCCATGATATTTCCCCAGATTTTATGGCGCCTCTTCTTATTTCATTACGTCCCTGGCCCCCCCGCTGGGCCGCGCACATGCTGCCGGTCATGATTTGCACCCCCCCCTCTTGGACACCCCTCTCTTGGCCGCTCCCGATGAGGCTTGGCCGGAACATTCCACCTGCGCACCACGTTTGGGGTCATGCACGGGGGCGCGAAGGTAACGCGCTTTGCGCGTCGCGGCCCAGGCCACAGCACCCGTCCTTCTCCACAGTATGGCGGCGTGAGGGCGCGACAATGCGAAGATGATTGCGCGACTCGCATCGCGGGGCACCATGCACTAAGTTTGGTGACCTAGCTACTGGAGGTGGTCTGGTCTTCGATCTTAGGGGAACACGCGCCGATTCCAGCCAAGATCTGGGGCCCCTGCGGGGCTCGAAGCCCTCGTGTTCCCCGCTTGGTTTACCTTGCGACAAATGCCGACGTCTATAATGTATGCCCACACATGTGTACATCGAGTCATGAATGATGGCCTGCGACCCATCCCGCCACCGTGCCTGGGTTGTGCGTCAGACTCTCTCAGGGGTGCTTCGTCGTGTCCTCGGAGCGCTCTCGGGAGCCTCAGGGGGGCAGTTGGTGGGCCTCTTGGGGGCCTCTTGGGGCCTCCTGGGGGTCCCTCGGGGCCGAGGGCTCGAAATGTCCATTCGGGTTCCCCATCTGGGCCCCCTTTGGAGCCGTCTTTGGGCCCTCCTCCCTCCTGGGCCGTCTTGAGCGCATAGCCCAGGGTCGGCGCCGGAGTATATGCCGTCCTGATCTTCAAGGCCAGCCATGCCTTAGCTTCCGTGCCCTTTCCCATTATGTTGCGCACGGCATCGTCGATCGTCAATTCTGATGCGAGCCTATTTGGTGTCAGATCCTCGCGTCGATATTTTTTCATGAGCAACTGGCACTCTTGGGCCGTCTTCGGGCCATTTTTGGCCCGCTTGCGGCCCTCTTGGAGGCCCCTGGGGCCGTCTTGGGGTGATCTTGGGGGCCTCGTGGGCTGTCTTGGAGCGCAGGGAACCCCGAGAGGCGCGAACGCTGAAATCCTTCAAAAACCAACAGAACATAGCTGAATGTTGCCACTTGGGGCACTCTTAGGAGGCCTCCTGGAGGCCTCTGGGGGGGTCTTGAGGCCTCTTGGACCGTCTTGTGACCGTCTTGGGCATCTTGGAAAGGTCTTCGATCGTCTCGGAGGCTTCTGAGGCCCTCCTGGGGATGTTTGGGGGTCCTCTGTGCCTACTACTGGGCCCTGCTGGGCGGGGCCGGGCCACCGTCCCAGAGGCCCACGAGACACACCCCAGCAAACGCCCAAGAGGGCCCAGCGGCGACTGGAAAACCGGGGGCCTGGGCCTGTACAGAGCCTTTGAAAACCCTGGAGCCTCTCAGGGCTGCAGGAGCCTTGGGGCATTATTTGACGTGCTGAAGGCACGGTGGCGGGTACTCACACTTGCACACACACATATATATATATATGTGTGTATGTGCATATAAACATATATATATATATATATATGGTTACACACAAACTACACATGTATACATGCATATACATATGTATAACACTGTGGGTGCACAAGTATAAGCATGTGCACATACATACATTAATGTATACACACTGTAACCACGTGTGTTATGTGTAATGTAAATCCACATATACATGCATGCCTGCACACATACACATATACATATACGTAGACATAGATGCATATATGTATACATGCATACATGCATGCATACATACATATATGTGTATATATGTACACATGCACATGTGTACACACATGCATGGATGCGCATGTGTACATACAACTATATATATATATATACATACATACATGCACACATACATGCACGCATACATACATACATACATACATGCTGACATACACGCATGCAAAACATATGTACGCATGCACACATGCGAACATACCGCTAGACGTGCAACCATACATGTATGCAGACATGTATATTTACATACATACAGACACACATACATATATATACATGCTTACGTGCATGCATGTAAACCTATATACATATGTGTGTATATGCAGACACGCATACATGCATACAGATTTGCATGCATATATATATATATATATATATATGGGTGCATGCATGCATACATGCATATATGCACACATGTGTTTTACATATCTGTATATATACACATATGCGTATACACACATCTGCAATACTGTACGTATCCACAGACAGACATACGCACATACGCACGCGCATGCACGTACCAACTCAGCGAGGGCGTTACGTACCGGGCTGCGCTAGCATGATTACCACCGAGCGCGTGCCAGTGAGAAGGCAACCATTGAACCGGTTGCGCGTGAAAAAACGAAGGCGTGAGAAAAAAGGAAGTTGCAGTGACGCAGGCAGCTCCCTTAGGAGCTACATGGCACCGATGGGAGCGAGCAGCGCGACCCGCGCCAGCGCCCAGGTGGACGGCCCAGAAGAGCACAGCAAAGAGGCAGAAGAGGCGAAGCCCAGGAGCCAGAGCGAACCCGGAAGCTGGGAGACGAGGATGGGGGAGCGACGGCAGCATCCCCACGACCGAGAGGGGAGGACGAAACCCTGGGCGACAGCTCGAGGCGAAAGCAAGCAGAGAGCAGGGGAGCGACGCACGACGGCGGGACAGGAGGAGAAGACGACTCGCCCGGCGGCGCAGAGCAGCGGGCTCGGTCCGCGAAAGGGCACACGCATACATACATCATGCATACATACAAACATACATACATACGTACCTACATACATACATACATAGAAGCATACGAATATGGAAACACTGATATATATATATATATATATATATATATATAGTGTATATGTATATGTATGTGTATATGTATACATATATATATATATATAGAGGAGTAGGCGGGGGGGGGGAGCTGGGCCGCTGCCTGTACCCCCCATGGGCGCCCCCCGGGGGTTCTGGGGGGGTCCCAGAGCTAGACAGCCCGGGCCCGCCCCGAAACAGGCCACGACGTGCTAACGGGGTCCCAAGAGGGCCCAAGACGGTCCCAAGAGGCCCCGAAGACGCCCAAGATGCCTTCAAGACGGCCGACGAGGACTCCAACGCGCTCCAGGACGGATCCAAAAGGCTCCCCAAGAGGGCCCTGGGAGGCAAAATCAATGTGTGTTCCGAAGGGTTCTGAAGGATTTTGGCGTTTTCGCTTTTCCCGCTTCCCAGCGCTCCTTCACTGCCTCGGAGGCTCCTCAGATCGCCCACAATGCCCCGAAGAGGGCCCCAAGACGGCCCAGGAGGCTCCCCAGACCGCGAACCGATATTTCGAGGTCTCTGGCCCTAGAGGCCCCCAATAGGCCCCCAGAGGCCACCAAGAGGCTCCCACGAAGCCCCGTGAGGCCCCCAAGAGGCCCCCAGCAGGCCCCAAGAGGCCCCCCAAGGGGCCCCCAGGGAACGCCCAAGAGGCCCCCCAGCACACCCAAACAAATCATGTCCCCAGAAAGCCTTCTGGGGACATAGTTCGTCATGGGCCCGAGAGTCTCCGGAGGCTCCGAAGTACCATCGCGCTGCCGGAGAGGTGTTTGCGAAGTTGATTGGGAACATGATTGATCACCTTCTCGCGGCCATCCGCGGATCGTTTCGCACAAAGTTGCCCCAAGTGCCCTCTAAAACCGACGACGACGAAGACGAAGACGAAGACGAAGGAACGACGAAGACGACGACGACGACGACGACGACGACGACGACGACGACGACGACGACGACGACGGCATTACGACGACGGCGACGACGGCACGCCCCAACACGCTCCTCAAGACGCCCCCAAAACCCATGTTCCCAGAAGGCCTTCTAGGAACCCGATTCATCAGGCCTCCGCCCCCCTACCCAACCATCTTCCCCGAAAGTCCTCCGGAATGCGGATTGACATGCATGGACCTCTCACTGCCCATACTGCGTTCAGCGTTATGGGCACTAGTTCACTCCCCGTTCAAACCATCTGTGTTCCACTACTTCAGTGGAGCAGTGAACTCGTCAAGGCTTGGGGCTTGCTAGAACCTGAGCGTGCGCGAAGCGCGCGCGATGGTTCAAGTATATGTGTACAAATACATGTATACATATACATACATATATACACACACCTATACACATTATACAAACGTGTATATATATAATGGTCGCCCCCCCCCCCACCCAGCACCCCCAAACCACAAACATCAACAAATCATTGAGCGTTCTCTCCTGATCCTGCTCCTTCCTCTTCCTCTCCCTCCTCCTGCTCCTTCTCCTTCCCTCGGGGATGAAAACGCAGTGTTTGTCTGAGTTGTCTGATTTCTCTGATCTCTGGCAGAGAATGGCCAACTTGCTCAGTCTCTGCCAGAGATCCGAAAAATCCGGGTAAACACAACTTACCCAGGGACGTACCCAACCTTTTGTACACATGAGGCGACTATACATCGGACCGCTCAATACAACATCGAGCATTGAAGGATCCGCCGCGCCCGTGAACGATTCGCCAAAGAACGTCGGGCCACAGTCAGATGTTCACATGTGCGGCATCCGTCTTAAGAGTCAGATCGTTGGCAGGAAGGCGGCCACGAGAGAGTGTGGAAACGCAGTGAGGAGAGACGATTGGAGACATAGTTCGTGGGAGCAGCGCCGCTGGAGCCCCCAACGTCGCAACCCAGCCCCCCAGAGGACGGCGAGGTCTCATGGTGATCTGCGTAAGACGCACCTCCGCTGGGGCTCCCAGGAGCCCACGAAAGTGGCGACTCCGTCGCAGATCGCAGCCCCCCAGGGACGGCGAGGTCTCATGGCGGTCCCCGTAAGACACACTTCCGCTGGACATCCCAGGAGC